CGCGAATTCTCTCGATTACCGTTCACTGAGCTTCACAGAAAGGGCAGAATGCGAGCTCAGCGAAAAAAATTCCACCTAGGCCTCCCTGCAATTTTGCCAATTGTCAAGAAAAGTTGTGGTGTGTGAACGCAACCTTTTATCAATGTTGCTAGCAAGACAGCGTCCAGACTTCGCCGTGACGTGCTGTGACGCGCTGTAACGCGCGTCGATGCGCTACCATTACAACAGCGCTCTGATGCTACAGACGAGAACGCAGCTATAGACTGATATCGATGACGCCGGAAAATTACTGCTTTGAGAGAGAGTATGTTAGGTTAGAAAGATGCACGTTGGCTAATCACCCAGTCTGGTACCCTCTTCTTCTATACTCTCTCGAAACGCTGGCAGCCGGCTCCGATTAATATCAGAGAGTTTGGTTAGGTAACCTGTATTCTCCTATTCTGCCATTCTCTCTCAAGCACTAGCACCGATGGCAAGGTGCAACGGTCTAAAGAAGTTCTTTTTCGGGGGTGATTGACTTTGTGGCTTACATCGGTCCAATGATTTGCAGAGGAGCGCGGCCTTTTGTGGGTGCTTTGAGACTTGGGGTTAATTTAACCCTTTTACGCCGAATAGCTCGGTGGTTCAGTGGAATAATATACGCGAGAGCGAGAGATAGCACGAGACTTCATCTGGTGAATGCAGAAGAAACAGTAAAGTGGCAGTATGAGATTGTCTGTTTGAGTTACTACAGCCCTATGCCCCGACAGTTGGGGTCGAAGGGGCATCATCGGAGACGATGATAGGGCCCTTGCAGCGAAAGCGAATTGGAAATCGCAAAGTATGAACGCGCTCTCGTCCCTCTAGCCATTTTAGCCGCGATGTTAATTCAGCGAAAACGCAAAAATAATGAGTCCAGATGCAGTCGGACCCGTGTTGCCATTTTGGAATAATAAAAACATATTACAATTAGTCCACTGTGCACAAGTAATGATACATTTCTATTATTAAATACTTTTTTAACCTCGCAAAGTGGGACGGTACTGATGGCCGGCCGCTAACCATAAGACTCGGAGGGCGGCCAACTCTGTGAATCGATGCCGCGCCTCGCGCCAACAAGCCTTCAGGCGTTTCCGGAGTTGAGATAGTTGGGTGCAGACCCATCTGAGAGTAATTACAGTGATCTCTAAACATCGGCTTACTCTTGTATATATTATAAAGAAAACAGTAATTATGTAGCATTTTAACTTATTCTATAAAATATTTCGGCTAACCATCGCTTAGGTTATCTAAATTATCATTATACCGGGCTTCGACACATACCACGCGACGAACCGCTTTGCGCTCTTCAACCGTCTCGCACGCCTGCCTTAGACGGAAAACAAACGAGCCTGTACCTACTCCTCCTCTCGCTCCCCCCGCAGTAAGCCGACGAAAGAAGGAATAAATCAAGTCAAATCACTGTTAGGCTGCCGAAGCAGAATGCGTGGCGTATCCCAAAAAGAAGCTGAAGCTTTTTCTTTCCTACTCTTTATTACACCTTTGAATAAAATACGACATAGGAGTTCGTTTTTCTTCACTTCCTAATGTCTCTAATGAATAATGCTGACGTTTTCCTTCCCAACCAGCATTGAGTGAAGGAAGATCACTCCGAGCAACCAACCTGCGCGAATCGGCGGCGGCTCTAAGCCGAGGCAATGGGCCTTGGACAGGTTCTGCAAGACTTCGCCAACTGGTCAACTGTCTGTGGTGTGCCTCATATCGCCAATGCCAGGACAAGGGTACTACTCAACCTTGCTGAAGTCTACGTCTCTGACGGCTTGATTTTCAGGCATGGCGGATTTTTTGGTCCGTTATTTTCTCCATCATGGTCGCCGTGTTCATCTACCAACTCTACATTATGATCGTCAAATTTTTGTCCTTTCCCAGTATTGTTAATACGGAAATCTTCTACAAGGAGCAGGTTCCGTTTTTAAGCCTTTTTTCTACTTTTGTCACTTTTTCAGTTCGTTTTCTTTGCTGGCTGGATTAGTCTTGACAGCATGCACAACCCCGGCGATCGGGAACGCATGGCTGCATGATTAATTTGAACCTGATGGGACGCGTTTTTCGTGAAATTTTTCCATATGAGACAACTGTCATCCTGTGTTGTGCTGGACACCCAAAAGTTCAGGCCCCACAATCTTAAACGGAGTCGCTTCCCCACCCATTCTCCCTTCAGGATAGGAGTGCTCATACCGCGGCCTGCCGTGACATGTGCTCCTGCCATGGCCACCTTGCCGCAGTTGCAACTTCTTCTGTGCAATGTGAAGACAAACAATTACTTTGTAGGCAGACCGGTGACAATTACAGAAACAACTACTGTGACCGGCTGAGCGCTTTTTCGAACTGCTCGTCTCTACCCACTCAGTGATTCTTCTCTCTCCCAAGCAGGATAAAGCATCGGAGAAAAGGCGGTCAGACGATCCCTACGCGAAACCTACTCCGCTTTCCCCCATCCTTCCTACCATCTTCCTGAGTTGAAATGGAAATATAATCAGCAAAGCCCAGCAGCTGGGAAAATATTCATACGAGCCTTGGAAAATTATCGAGACCAAGATAGGAATGCCGTAGGTGACCTCTCCTCCAGAACACCGAGGCACGATCTCTTTTGATGGCACCCTCCAAAATGCTGTACCGCGCTCAAAGACAGACCTTGAAACCCTGAGGCGACTAAAGGTCGTGCGCAGCCCACCTCTTCCTCGGCCCCCTACCGTCCACCTCCTTGCTGCAATTTACTTATTTTTTGTTTTGTGTTTTTAAATGACACGTCAGCGATCACTCATAGCATCAAAGCTTTTTGTGGGGTAAGGTAGTGCAGGCCGCAATGGAGAATCTTGAACAAGTTTCTGTTATAAAGGTGGTGAGATAGGGAGGTTAAGGCATAAAATTGCCCAAGACATCCCACCTACACTGGTGTCTGTCTGCTCTCCCGCTGCTCTTGTCAGGTCTGTCGCCCAAAATCCACATTGATTTTTGCCCTTCCATGGACAAGATGGTCACTTAACGTCTGAAGCATTTATGACAGCTACCTCTGCTTTTTTTCCACAGGTAAGTCAATAGACTACATCATTACCGTTTCCAACTACGCACCCTATCGCTTGAGAGCTATTGAAAACCTGGCCTTTGAAAGGAGCAAAGCACTACGTATTACTAGAGAATAAAGCGCTGTTCGGCGAATCACAAGGAATGAGGGCGGAGGCATTTTGAACATTCACAGATCACTAAGTCCGCTTTACAAGTCTCACTCTGGTGAAACTTGTGAACTCTTGCGTAGCTGGAGCAAGCTCGTCCAGCCACCATCATAAAGCCTGTCGACTCTCGAATGGCTCTCTAGATGGCTCGACACCTTGATGGGAAAAGGGGAAAAAGCCCAATGCCCCCTTCCCTCATCCTTCCTGCCTCGTCACCGGACCGTTAATGTTTTCCATATTTCAGGACTTTCTCTGTGGTTACCGTATGCCGAACTTCGCAATCCATACAAATATCAGCAGTACGGGATCCCGATAACAATCTTGCTAGCATCAAACGGCTTATGGAAGTTTACAAACGAGCCGCCTCCAAGAGACATTAAATCCAAACGATGACTACGGTCTTTATGTGAGTAGTTGTACATTGTTTTTGTCCTGAAATGTACAAAAAAAGTCGACGAGATAACTTGGCCGCAAAAAACAGGCTCAACTAGGGATGCGCCGTGCATATCACGTTTGCTCGGAATCGGCGATGAAACTCGATGTCATCTAGCCATTAGAACGAAGGGCATGGAAGCAACCGATTTTCTGGTTCTTTCCTGAACTCTATCCCTGAACACTTGTAGCATTTTCTAAATTGAAGATATTGAAAAAGCAAGCCACCCCCTCTCACATCTGGCCTATTTAGGCTTGAAGACGCTCACCGCCAAGTGCTGGAGAAACATCTTCCTCTCTAGCGTGGGCACTTTCTCGCTTTTCTGTTACCATCTGCTATTTTACCGAGGACTATTAATTATTGTGTATTATTATTTCTATTCCTATTACTAATGTCGTTATTTTTTGTTTATATATTTGAAGTCACTTTAGTTTGATACTGCTGTTTCGCGCCAGAGCGGGCTCCGAAGATTTTCACGGGGCGCTGAGTTATGAGCAAAAGTCAGGCGCCAGCCGGGACTCGAACCCCCGTCTCGCACTGACAGAGCTAGCGCGTTATCCACTACGCCGCCGGGCCGAGCATTTTGTGCCATTGCCTCCCACTATTACTATTATTATTATTATTATTATTATTATTATTATTATACAGAAGTTATGAGAGAGATCAACGTGCATGGGAAGCGCTAGTGCTGGAAGCGGCCAAATTGGGCGAGGAAAAACTCGCTCCAGCCCTCTACAAATATGAAGATTTGATAACTGATTGTACATTTTCGGGAAAGAAATGCTCAGCGTAAGAAGTTCCTAGAGTGGACCAGAAACATGACATGACACTTTTAGAGCGCCATCTTTTAGGGCAGATTTTACTCGGGTTGTTGATCCTGTCTATGGCGCTTGTTATTCGTTCAACGAGGACGCTTCACTCAGCTATTCCACTAATCGAGCTGGCATGAAATTTGGCTTGAAACTGCTCGTCACTGTTAGCGTGAGTCGTTTTAGTCTCCGCTTGAAGCTACCGTATTACGAAGGGCTTCAATGGTGGTTTTTCAGCAACACACAACGTCTATGGAGAACGATTTTCTTCCGACAACGAGGATGGTTGGGGCAAGAGTTTCAATTCAACCGAGAGGTTCGTAGTTTTGGGAGGTGGACGATTGTTTCCAACGTCATTGGTGGCATATCCCTACAAAGCGTTGAGCAGTTTGGCCGAACTCCCTCCTTCGGCCCTTCCACCAATGACGCAGGCAACAGCCGCTCACCTCCAGCAATCGTGCCTAGTGCCTTTGAAACCACCAGTCTGCGCTTATCGTGCGAGTGGGCGGAGTCGGGTCCATTATTAGGTCTTCTTTAGTGGCACCCCTCTTCTTAAACGGTGAGCAGTAGGCTCAATGAGAAGCGCGCGACGGTTGCCTGTCTCCGCCCACATGATCTGTGTGGACTCTCCCCTACCCTTTGTCATATTACCATTTTTTGAGTATTTTGAGAGCTTGCTAAACTTTTTATAACTTAGGTTCTACTGACCACGATATGCTATGCAGGTGTAGAATTTGTACAAAGGCTTGCTTTACTGACTTGAGTCTATAAGGGTGTCAATCCTCGTGATAGCGATTGTGGCCCTATCAGTAGTCTAGAAGTTCAAAGGCGTTTTCTCTGAATGGGTATACTTCTCTGGTTACCCTATTTTAAGTTGGCGTTGGTAGTCGCAGTTACTGTCCTTTGATCCTTTTGAAGTGACGGCCACGTCCATACACTTCCATTCGGAATAGCGGGCTAGATTTGACCTATAAGCTAGCCGGTCTACATGTCAGTGCCATTCTCCTGGATTAGTTTGTCAGAGAACTCCGAATGGCGAAGAGATGAAAGATTCGGGTGGTTTGGGGAGGGTTCGATACCTGATTTCCGCAAACGGCTGTTGTTGATATAATTTTAGGAGTACATCCTTCCCTTGACAACAACGGGATTCACGTTGGAGTGGGCCATCAAACGGCCATTTCGATCGTATCGGTTCGTTCTCTCGTTCATGTGAAGGCAGTTGGGCGTTGCGAAAGGGACTAATAGAAACTCTGAGCAAATGTTGAGTTTTCAGACGAAAATCCAACGATTGAAGAAGCCATATCCCGGAAGATGTATAGACACCGAGCCGGAATCAACCAATCTTTACAAGGTGAATTGTATGACAATTACAGTCGATATCGGCACAATCAGTCGGGGCGTGTCAAGAGGCTCGGTCTGTGCGGCGTTTTAACCAAGACTTTTTTCTTTCCCTGATTGTTCACTGCAAGATAACTATTGGTAGGGGAGAGCCAGCCGTAAAGGGATTATACTGCCCCTCCCCCCTCACCATCCCGACTAATAAAAAGGACAATATAACGTTCCCAAGGGCAGATGATCACAGTTGTGAATCTGGCAGGGCCCGACGTGGGGGAAACAATGAGCTTCCCGTCTCAGAGACGTCGCACTCTTGCAGTATTCGGCTTGCCGGTAAGATGCGCGTTTCGTCATTGCTATCGCTGACTGCAACGCAGTCTGACATGACTTACATGTCTGCCAGCAAAAGGATGTAGTAGCATGCCGCTGCTCGATACCCCATGTAGTTCTATTTGGCCAAGTATGGGCAAAGGGGGCCAGCTCTAGCGAGAATTTAATAAGTTACTCCATTTTCCTGGCGTCTTATGCACTTCAGCTAACTGTTCGGACTTGGACAGAATGGTGGCCGAAAAGGGCGGCAGGCGCCGCATGGAAAGGGCGCTTCCCTGTAACTATCTATTGCCTTCCTTATTCACGTGTAGCACTTGCTTTTTTTCATCACTGCTGTAGCGCTGGCTTTTTCAGAAGCAGGTGATGTTGTTGAACAGAATACTTCTGGAACGACCCTCGACCGAACTGATAGCTGTTTTGTTACCCATTCTACTTGTATACGGGAATTCATGAATGCTTGTATGGCGTTTACCAAGTAGTTGAGCTCAGTCTCTTTCATCGAGTCAAATTTCTGTTCTTCTCTGCAGTCTCTCGCCCACATAGCGGTTCTATACACGCACTGCGACCTCGAACAGTCTGATTTTTCACGGCCCGGCTACCCTTTGGTTCCCTCCCGTGGAAATCCCATATCTGGCTCACTATAGGTTTTTTGCACGTTTCTATGCGTTGGCAGCCCTCTAACTGCGCTGCAGTTTCGTGACGGGACCATCCACAGAGGTTCAAATACCTGGTGCTGGGTGCGATGCGGCGCCACAGAGTTGCGATCGGCACGCGTCACTGTACCACGCACGTGTCGCGTCGCGAGAGTTTTATTGATATCAACGGCTCCGCTTGCCTGACAGTAACAAAGAGATCGAGAACTACCGTCATGATCCCTGCAAACGATAGGGCGTGTGACGAGGCGTGGACTGGAGCGCTGCCGAAGCGGCTTTTCCATCAATGATGCCGTCCTGAGTCCGTAAACAGTTGTCGGGAAGGGCTGTTTGGCTGCGATAAACTCACGCCCCTTTATACGGCCTATCATGTTCAGGGATCATGGCTAGAGAAGAAGGTTCATGAACTGCAGAACTAATTTCAGTCAAACGTATACGTACTGGAGACGTGCTTTTACAACTGTCGTCAACGCAACACCATCGAACAATGTAGGTGTGCGAATCCACGGTTCAAAAAAGTGACGCGGACCAGTGGTGTAGGCCAACGAAACCAGATTGTAAGTTTCAGCTGATTTCAAACAAACCTGAATAAAAGTTTTTACAAGAGTATAAATTTTGGAAACAGGCGGGATACAGTATCCCCCAAAACTGCACGTGAAATTAGATGTGTCGCTCCGTGAATATACACATTTGACCGGTTTAGCTACCCAAAGGCCAGGCCAGGGAGCCAGAGCGATCCAATTCCGCTTTCCCTTAGCCAGGTGGTTCCTAGGCGAAAACTGATTGGTACTGTGCACTCAACGCTTTTAGGCACTCAATTTCACGCGCATTTTGGGAAACTGTATCCCGCCTGTTTTCCTACCTTCATAATTTAGTGAAATTTTTCAGTGGACTGCCTGAGATCACTTCGTGGAGATCAAGCGTCGACAACGCCAAATATCTGCCCGTTGACCGATTGTTCCTGTGGTTCACCATGCTCTGAGACTTCGTACATCACCTCTGCCACTATCTCAAAATTCCCTGCAGAAGGTTATTTCGTCGCAACTGATCCTACACAAGGAGTGGTTAGCGGTTGGCCCTATGACGAATGTAGTATAGTTATCGCTGTGAAACAGAAGCTATTTTTAGGCTGGAAGCTGCGACAATCAAAACACAATTTTCAATCAGGTAAGTTTACAGGTGTCAATGATAAACCAACTGCAGTCCGCTGATTCAGTTGCTAGGTGGAAGTCTTGGGCTGCGTTCATACTTTACGGAAAGCGTCCACCAGCGACCAGCAGCGTCCACCAGCGACCACTAGCGTTCTGAGCGTCCGGCAGCGTCAGCGCTAAGAAAGTGCGTTTATCGACCTGGCGACCAGCGACGTCAACAAGCCACCATGTGCGCCCACCAGCGACCAGGAGCGTCAGTGATCCTCTCGAGGGCTAGAGAATGTATAGTTATCAATCCAGCAGCCAGCAGCATCTATCAGCGTGCACCAGCGACTAGCAACATACAGAAGTGGAGAGTGTGGTGGTTCGTGTGTTGTGGGTGTGTGTGTCGCCGGCTGCAAGTGAGAGACTAACCTGTGTTCTTACGGGACGGTGGTTCAGTTTTCCCAGTTGTAGATAATAAAGGACACGACCACACAATTCTGATACTGACGGACTAACCGACAACGACGCAGCCTCAAACTTGGGTAATTAAATCTTTATACGACTTACAAAACGGCGCATTACGACGTTAGAAACAGCAACTCAAGCAGTCTTCACGAAATAATCATTATTCAGAGGAACAACTAACTAACAGAGTAGTAACTAATAACTTCTTTACAAAGAACCGGTTATGTAACCCATAACAATGAAAACCTGTATAATATGAGATGCTTTTGACGGAAACAATGTGAACTAGATCTCATCTAAGTGAATCGTGGGTAAGGTAAAACTGAATAAAAGTCGAACAACTGAACTATACTAGTGTCGTATGCAAAGAGACTGCAAAATATGAAGATGGTAATCAATGAGGCGTACGATCAATAGCTAAAAGAATCAATAGGAAACATGGGGCCGAAGCCAGAAGAGAAATGGGATGAGAGGAGAGGGGGGGGGCGCAGGAGCAGTGATGTCTGTCCGTCTGGCAGTCCTTATATAGTAGCGTTTCCCGCGCGATCGTGTAATTAAGTGCGTTTTGAACTGCGGAGACCGCCTTGATCAAGTGCGCTTCAGCACAGAGAGTATGGGGCGATCGGTGGGTAGCTGGTATCTCCCATCTCTCCATACTGCCTACTAGGAAGTCTGCTCTTGTCTCCCCAAACTCTACCAACTGTCTGCGCTACTCGCTCCCCCTTAGATAGCCCATACACCTACAACCTGCCATGCTACCTTACTATCAGCCACCATGCTCTCCAACTCCTCGGACGCTGGCTGATCCTGGTAGTCGCTAGTCGACGCTGCTAGTCGCTGATGGACGCTGCCGCAATGGTATGAACGCAACCGTCATAAGTTCGGCGCGAAGTCGAAAAGTCCGACTCGCAACCAGCTAGTATTTCATATGAATTCAACATCGGGTACTTAGCACGTTTCATGTAAATCATTGGGCGCTGTGGCGAATGTTCGTCGCACGGGTAGGCGATCCGATATCTACTCCATGTCCCGCAGCATGGATCTCTTGAACTATATTCTCTGCAGAGAAATTCAGCCTGTAAGGGTACGAACTCAAAACTCTGAGCCATTCTGACCTCACTCTCATCAAAAAAATATTTACTTGACAAAGTAAAGTATTTAGTTGGTATAAAGGAACTTCATTTCATAACAAAGATTTTTTCCAGGATCAAGGCAAGTGTCGTGATTGGTATGAGAAGAATGCACTTGTATTGCAAGTGTTTTTCGAAACGCTGAAATATGAGTCCTACAAGGAAACGCCGAGTTATGGAGTAAGAGGCACTATTCATACGATTTTACGCTATTATACGACGCCGCGAATCATTCTGTTACAGATCTCTGCAGTACTTAATGACCTCGGTGGTCACGCTGGACTTTGGCTCGGACTTTCAGTGATTTCCGTAATTGAGGTAATTTTTTATGAAACTAGAGTAAAAATGGTAGTTCGAGAGAAAATCTGCAGAAATATTGATGGAACCTGCAGTTGTTCATCGATCTGGCGAATATTTCACTTAATTCCATTTCCAATGACTGGAATTTGGAGCTCAGTTTTGAAAATTCTGGTTTTCTAAAGGAATTGGTGAAAGATTTTCGGGATGAGAGCGCCTACCCAGCCAGACTGTCATCGATAATCAAGGCAAAGCCTCTGCCGATCGTTTGGGTGGAATAAAGTCCAACACTTCACCTTTCTACGCCTCTTAACCGCGCCAAAACCCCAAAGAAAAAGCGCTCCAATGAGAAAGTCACGGCGGTAGGCTAGACTCCGCCCATACGATCATCGTGGACTCTGTCTTCAGATTGTGGTCTGGAAAACAAGAAACTGTTCAAAAATGTTCTTTCCTAGCACTTCTTGACCGTTAA